CCCAGTTGCGCCCCCTTAGCTTAGCTTTGCTTATCTCATCTGAGGTTAGCCTAGCTTAGCTGAGCTTAGCTTAGCCAAGCCTAGCCTAGCTTAGCTTAGCTGAGCCTAGCCTAGCTTAACTTAGCCTAGCTTAGCCCAGCTTAGCTTAGCGCAGCATTACCATAGCATACCATAGCACAGCATATCATAACACAGCGCAACATAGCATAGCGCAATATACCATATCATATCATAGCATAGCGCAGCACCGCATAGCATACCATAGCATAGCTTATCATAACATAGCACGGCGCATCATATCATAGCATGTCATATCATAGCATAGCGCAGCATAGCATAGCATATCATAGCATATCATAACATAGCGCAGCATAGCATATCATATCATATCATATCATATCACATCATAGCGCAGCATAGCATAGCATATCATAGCGCAGCATAGCATATCATAGCATAGCCTTGCATAACATAGCGCAGCAGATCATACCATAGCATAGCATAGCGCAGCATAGCATAGCATAGCATAGCATATCATAGCATATCATAGCCTAACATAACATAGCGCAGCCTAGCATACCCTAGCATAGCATAGCGCAGCACAGCACAGCATAGCGCAGCATAGCATAGCATATCATAGCATCAAAGCAAAGGCAAAGCAACTGCAGCAACAGCAAAGCAAAGGAAAGCAAATCAAAAGCAAAGCAAAGGAAAGGTGAATCTGTAGATGTGAGTGTAGTTGTAGATGTAAGTGTAGATGTAGATGCATGTGTACATGTAGATGTAGCTGTAGGTGTAGATGTGGATGTAGGTCTAGATGTAGATGTAGGTATTAAGCTGTACTATTACTACTACTACTACCGCTACTGCTACAACTGCGACGATGAAGAGAAGGAGGAGGACAGCGTTTACCGTTACTGCTAATATTGCTCTCCTCGGGGCTCCAACTCCTAGGTAGGGTCGCTCTGGGATAATTTTCCCAACCGTCCTGTGGTGTTGGGCCCTTGTTTTGAAGAGACAGCGCCCCGCGTTCCTTCTCCTTCCGCTGCCCCCTCTCCTCTCACGCTCCTCCTCCTCCTCCTCGTCCTCCTGATTCTCCTCCTCCTCCTCCTTATCATCATCATCACCATCACCATCACCATCACCATCACCATCGTCATCGTCATCATCGCTGTCACCATCGTAATCATCATCATCATCATCACATCATCATCATCATCATCATCATCATCATCATCATCGTCATCGTCATCGTCATCATCATCACCATCACCATCACCATCACCATCATCATCATCATCATCATCATCATCATCATCATCATCATCATCATCATCATCATCCTCATCCTCATCACCGTCATCATCACCATCATCGTCATCATGATAGCTGTCATCATCACCATCATCGCCACCCATTTCGGCACACTACTCACACGTTCCGTGGCCCCATAGGGAACTCCACCGAAGGCCCCAGTGGCGGTGTTCGCATGCGTCCCCGCCGCCCGATTCGGCACACCCCTCACGCTTTTCGTGGCCACATAGGGGGCTCCACCGAAGGCCCCAGCGGCGGTGTTCGCATGCGTCCCCGTCACCAAGTGCGGCACATCCCTCACACGTTTCGTGGCCCCATAGGGAGCTCCACCGGAGGCCCCAATGGCGGTGCTCGCGTGCGTCCCCGCCACCCGATTCGGGACACCCTTTACACGTTTCGTGGCCCCATAGGGAGCCCTACCGAAGGCTCCAGTGTCGGTGTTCGCTTGCGTCCTCGCATCCGACCAGGGACGCCCTTCACACGTTTCGTGGCCCCAGAAGGGGCTTCACCGAAGGCCTCCGTGGCGGTTTTCGCATGCGCCCCCGCCACCCGCTTCGGGACACCCTCACACGGTTCGTGGCCCCAAAGGGAGCTCCACCGGAGGCCCCAATGGCGTTGTTCGCATGCGTCCCGGCCACCCATGTTGGCATACCCCTCACACGTTTCGTGGCCCATGGGATCTCCACCGAAGGCCTCAGTGGCGGTGTTCGCATGCGTCTCCGCCACTCGATTCGCGACACCCCTCACGCGTGTCGTGACTCCACGGGGAGCTCCGCCGAAGGCCGCAGTGTCGGTGTTCGCACGCGTCCCTGCTACCCACTTCGGCACACCCCTCACACGTTTCGTGGCCCCATAGGGAGCTCCACCGACTGCCCTATCTGCCTTGCGGTACTCGCATCCGCATATGGTTGGGTCCTTCGCCAGGATAATTGTCCCAACCATCCTTTGGAAATGGGTCTTCGTTTTGAAGAGACAGCGGCCGCGTTTCTTCTCCTCCCTGTTCCTCCCCCTCCTCCCTCCTCCCATCGCCGTCATCATCATCATCATCATCATCACCATCACCATCATCGTCATCATCATCACTACCACCACCACCATCATCATCATCACCACCATCATCATCACCATCAGCAGCGTCATCATCATCATCATCATCATCATCATCATCATCATCATCATCATCATCATCATCAGCATCAGCATCAGCATCAGCATCATCATCATCATCATCATCACCATCAGCGCCATTATCATCATCACCACCATCATTACCATCATCAGTATTTAAAAAAACATCATTACCACCATCAAAAAACATCATTATCACCATCACTACCATCATTACGTATCACCACCTCGCCATCACCATCACCATCACCATCGCCATCATCATCACCATCACCACAACTACCATCATGATCATCGTCGTCGTCGTCGCCGTCGTCGTCGTTGTCGTCGTCGTCGTCATCGCCATCGCCATCAGCAACACCTCTACCGCCATCAGCTTCGGCACACCGCTCACACGTTTCGTGGCCCCGGAGGGAGCTCCACCAAGGGTCTCAGTGGCACCGTCCGCATGCGCCCCCGTCAACCACTTCGGGACACCCACCACACGGTTCGTGGCCCCATAAGGAGCTCCACCGAAGGTCCCAATGGCACCGCGAGCGTGCGTCCCGGCCACGCATTTCAGCACACCCTCATTCTTTTTGTGGCCCTACAGGGAGCCCCACCGAAGGTCCCAATGACACCGTCCGCATGCGTTCCCGCCGCTCACTTCGGCACGCCCCTCACACGTTTCGTGGCCCAGTGAGCTCCACCTCAAGCCCCAGTGGCTGCGGCCGCACGCGTGCCTGTCACCCAGTTCGGCGCACCCCGCACACGTTTCGTGGCCCCATGGAGGGGGAGCTCCACCTAATGCATCAGTGGCACCGTCCGCATCCGTTCACGCCACTGATTTCGGTACTCCCCTCACACGTTTCGTGGCCCCAATAGAGCTCCACCTGAGGCCCCAATGGTTGCGGCCGCACGCGTTCCCGCCACCCACTTCGGCACACCCCTCACACGTTTCGTTTCCCCATCTGGAGCGCCACCTTCGGCCCCGATGGCTGCGGTCGCATGCGTGCCCGCCACCCATTCCGGTACACCCATTACACCTTTCGTGGCCCCACAGGGAGCTCCACCTGAGGCCTGGACGGCAAGGCCTGCATGCCGCGCCTCGTGACCCCATAGGAAGCTCCGCCTGGAGCACCAACGGCATCGCCCGCATGGCTGCGCCGTTTCACGTCGGCACGTCCAGCACACGTTTCGTGACCCCATATGGGCGCTCTGCCTGATGCCCCATAGGCAGCGCCAGCATGGCGGCCCCGCCGCACATTTCGGCACACCCTTCGCGCGCGGCATGGCCCCGCACGTATCTCCACCGACGGCGATACTCGCAACGACGGCACTCATATTTACACATGGTCGGATCTTTCGCCAAGCTAGTTTTCCCAACCATCCATCATGTGGTGATGGGTTCTTGTTTTGAAGAGACAGCGCCCCGAGTCCTCACCTTCCTCCTCGCCTCCCTTCCTCCCTTCTCCCATCCTTGTCAATGCCCCCTGAGAGGTGTGCCGAAACTGGCGTGACGCCCACATATGAAGGTCGCCACATGCACCTTCGGTGGAGCTCCTTATGGGGCCACGAAGCGTGTGAGAGGTGTGCCGAAACGAGCGTGACGCCCACATGCGAACGTCGCCACTGGGGGCCTTAGGTGTAGCCCCCTATGGGGCCATGAAACATGTGAGTGGTGTGCCGAAGCGGGCGTGGCAACGAAGGCGACAGCAGACGCAGAGGCAAGCAGCGGAGGAAGGAGGAAGGAGGAAGAGAGGAGGAAAGGAGGAGCGGGTGGGAAGGAGGACGCGGGGCGTTTTCTCTTCAAAGCCACGACCCATCAACACAGGATGGTTAGGATAACCTAAAGAGGGCACGGAACGAAATCGAGAGATGGAAAACGTAACGTGCGGAAAGAGGGCGGGGGAAATTACATAGAAACCCGACAGGAACGAAAACGCGAAGCAGGAAAGTTAGGAGTACAGTCATCGCACTATCGTAAAGAACGCTGTACAGAAGGAGTGAAGGGCTTGTTCTGGCCACGGCGAGCCTCGTCCACGACCAGGCTTTCCGACCTAAGGTTCGGTCGCAAAGTCCTAACCCCTTCTGAATCCAAAGTGTTTCTTGCTTCAGTGCTTGGCTGTCGGGTAGAATGAACGGTATGCGAGGGAAGGGCAAGGCACAACATGGTGTGGGAATGCACGGTGGGCGAGGGTGAGGCCAGAACCGCGTACATTCGAGAAGGACAACAACGAACAAACGTGGCTAGAAAGCGTGAGCAGAGAGCAAGCGCACACCTCCGGCGTGCCCAAATGCTACTGCTCGGCGCGATCTCGACTTCCAGAAGCTGTCACCGGGCCCTGGGACTGTGGAAATTGAAATGCGAAGGACTGGTTCCGAGAAGGGGTCGGGAAGCCGAGAGGCCTGTGACTCGAATAAATCCAGTCATCGGAGATCTGGGGAGAGCAGAGGACAGGCAATAACGAGCAGAGAGAGGAGTGGCGAAGGCAGAAACCTGACGGAGCAGGACCGAGAAACGGCAAGGTGCGAAGGGACAAAGGATGCGGCAGGCCAGTGCTGCTGCGCGACCGGATCTACAGCAGCGGGGTGGACTCAGTGGTTGCATCTGGCGCCTGCGGGCGCTTTTGCATCTCCCCGAAGTGACGGATCCCGTACCAGAAAGCTGCTTCTGCTGCTGGCGCTTCTGCTATGACCAAGATGAGGCGCCCAGAACAACAAGTACAAAATGATGTGCGCCAGGAAAGGGCCTGCTCGACGACGTTCGGATTTCGAAGAAACGAATGACCTGCTCTTTCTCGTGCTTGTCGTCTTCTTCGCTGTCTCCCTTCCCTGCATCCTCCTCGTCCTCCTCCGCCTCCTCCTGCGCCTTCTCCTTCTCCTGGTCGTCTTTATCTTCCTCGCCCTGTTCCTCCTGTGTCCACCTCTGCCTGCTCCTGCTCTTGCTCCTGCTGCTCGTCTTCGTCCTCTTTGAAAGCATCGTCGTCGTCGTCGTCCTCCTCGTCCTCGTTCTCCTCCTCCCCGCCGCTCTGGGCCTGATCTTTCAATGGGAGGAGGAGGAGCAGGAGTAGGAGCATGAGGAGCAGGAGGAGGAGGAGGAGGAGGAGGAGAAGGAGGAGGAGGAAGAACGCTACACGTTTTCACGTAAGGTATGCTTTACGTATAACGGAGGAGGAGGAGGAGGGAAAGGAAAAGGCGGATGATGATGATGATGATGATGATGATGATGATGATGATGATGATGATGATGATGATGATGATGATGATGATGAGGAGGAGGATGAGGAGGAGGAGGAGGAGGAGGAGGAGGAGAAAGAGGAGAAAGAGGAGGGCGATGAGGAGGAGAAGGAGGAGGAGGAAAAGGAGGAGGAGGAAGAGGAGGAGGAGGTGGAGGAGTAGGAGGAAGAAAAGGGGAGGAGGAGGAGGAGGACCAGGGAAAAACAACGGAGAAGGAGCTCCACCTCGCCTCACCCTCATGACATCCTCACCAACTCTTCCTCCTCCTTCGCCTTCTGCGTCTCCTCCTCCCCTACATCTCCTCCTCCTCGTCCTCGTCCTCCTCCTCCTCCTCGTGCTGTCAAGCGGGATTCCCAGCGAACGCTGTTCGTTCTCATTTCTGCTTCTGTATGATGGTTATGCCCTTCCCCTGTCGCAGCCCCAGCACTACGAAAGTGCCCGCTGGAGCAGCGCTCGACCTTTGTCTTTTGGTTCTTTTGTTCGTCGTCGAGCGCGAAAGGAACTGCTGTCGTACGAACGAAAAAAACACAACGCAATCGGTCTGTATCAAAATCGGCCGCAGGTGGGCCAGTCACCGCAGCACGAGCATCTCGCACTCTCGTCGCGGAGCGTGACAAGCAACCAAGTACTGGCAGCGTGCAGGCACACGAATTACGTGCGGCACTGCAAATCGCCACCCCTCATCGAGGTGCTCACGCCCACGTCAATGGGTGTCGGCGCCCCCCGCGGCCCCCCCTTGGCGAGGCCGCGCTTCGCGGCGCGCCTGGTCTGGGAGCCGCGCGGAGCGCCCAGGTGCAAGAGAACTCGAGAAGGGGGTGGCGGGCGGGAAAAAAAAAAAACAGCAACCTCCCGCAGCGTCGCCGCGACACTTGGCGCTGCGAGGAAGGGAAAAGCCCGTGCACGATCGCGCCCCCGCGCGAGCTTGTGACCGCCCACACCAAGTATCTCCTGACCCGGGGATCTTGATGGGCAGGCCACAAATTACGCGCGGCCCTGCGAGGCGACGCCGTGCATCGGGGTGCTCAACCCCCCGTCGATGGGTGTCGACGCCCCCCCTCGGCCCCCCCTTGGCGAGGCCGCGCTTCGCGGCGCGCCTGGCCTGGGAGCCGCGCGGAACGCCGGGGTGCAAGAAACCCCTCGCCAGCAGGCACCCCAGAGCTGCGTGCTGCGCAAGCGCGGCGCGCCCGAAATCCCATCGGCAGCAGGCCGCGCAGCGCGGGAAGCTCGTCTGCGGACGATTCGGCAACGTGGGCCGAGGTCACTGCGCCTCGCTCCAACGCGTGCGCGTCCAACTGTGCGAGGAAAGGCGGAGACCTCGGGCGCGCGCCCGTGCGCGTGCCGCGCCCCGACGGGGCCCAACGCCGCGCCTCCACTCCCAAGCGCGAAGGATCCCAGCAAAAACGCAGCCCGGAATTCTTCCGTGCTGCGCCGCGCGGCGCCCCGTCTGCGCTGCTGGCCGAACGCCGCGCGCCGAGTGCCGCGCGCCTCGGCGCGCCCCTCGCGGAGATCGCGCGCGCGCGGTGACTGCCGGCACCGGCCGCTCCCAGCGCGCGGGGCGTGCTGCATCCCCAGAACAGCTGCTCGCCGTGCCGGTGCCCGGCCAGCTGGCGCCCCGCCGCGTGGGCCGGACAGGTGGGCAGGGGGCGCGCGCGCCAGCAACTGCGCGAGAGGGGACTTCCTTGCCTCCTGCTCTTACGCTGCCGCAGCCGCAAGCGAAGCTCGCCCCCTCGCAGATGAACGCCCGCTTGCCAAGCAAGCGGCTGCCCGCTGAGGTCACGCGCGGCAGCGCGGGCAGCGCCTCCGAGGTCGCGCGCGGCAGAAGCGCGTGCGAGATCAGCCGCGGCAGAGCTCGCGCGCGCCCCGCGGGGCCCTCGCCCGCCCCTGCGGCCGGCCTCCCAAGGAGCGGCGTCCTAACGAATTGCGGCGGGCGGTGCGCATGCAGATCGTGTTTGGCCATTGTCGCCTCTGCGCGCTTGGCGCCTCACCGCCACCTCGCCATCCCCATCCACCTCCTCCGTAATCTCCAGCTCCCTGACATTCTCCACATTTTCGTCGACGACCTCCTTCTGGACCTTCGCCTCCCCAGAGACCTCCTCGAATACCTCCTTGATGACGGTCTCCTCCACCGCCTCCTCCATCTTCTTCTCGACGCACGTCTCTTGCCCGAGGGGCTCCTCCGCGTTGTCGTGCTGCTGGAATTCGTCGTGCTGCTCGCGATGCTGTCGCTGGAATCCGTCATGCTGCTCGCGGTCGTGCTGATGGAGTCCGTCGCGCTGTTCCCGATGCTGCTACTGGAGTCCGTCATGCTGCTGATGGTGGTACAAGGGTCCGTCGCGCTGCTCGCGATGCTGTCGCTGGAATCCGTCACGCTGCTCCCGGTCGTGCTGATGGCCTCCGTGACGCTGTTCCCGATGCTGCTGCTGCTGGAGTCGGTCATGCTGCTGATGGTGGTGGTGCTGGAGTTTGTCCTGCTCCCGATGCTGCCGCTGGAGTCCAGGGTGGCGACAAGCCGAAGCACCCTGGGCGTCGCCGTCGTCGTCGTCGTCGTCGTCGTCGTCGTCGTCGTCGCCCTGGGCAAGAACCGCGGCCCCCACCCAGCCGTCTAGTGACCCCGCGGCGGCCGCCGTCGAAGCTGGCCCTGCAGGCCAAGGCCCGCGCGCGACCGCGCGGGCCGCGGCGGCCACCGCAGCAACGGCCGCGCCGGCAGCCGCCGCGGAGACGGCGACAGCCGCGGTGACCGCGGCAGCGGCGCCAGCAGCCGAGCTGGCAGCCGCCGCAGCCGCGGCATCGGCAGCCGCCCGAGCGGCTGCCGCGGCGGGTGAGACAGCGGCGGCGGCCGCCACAGCCGCGCCCGCAGCTTGCGCCAGCCGCGGGTGGCGATGGGGCCACAGGCCGCGACGGGGCCCGCGGCCGCCGGGCAGGCGGCCGAAGCGCGGCGGCCCGCCAGGAGACGGAGACGTGGCACCGGGGGAGGGGCGCCAGGAGGATGAGGCCCCTCCCAGCGCCCCCCAGGCCGGCCGAAGCCAAGGGAAGGCCCTGGCCCGCAGGCCGCGCAGGCCAACCTTGAGCCAGAGCGGCTTGAGCTTGAGCGAGGTCTTGGGCCAAAAACAATCGGAATCATCGGAATACGATCCCCAACTTCCTGAGCATCATTTCGTGACCGCAGATGGTGGTTAGCGGGGCGGGGATCTTGCGTGAACCGCCTGAGCAACCGGCCAACCACCATGTAGACTACGATGAGGCGTGTTTGGGTAGTCTCTAATTGCGCAGGTCGACGGCAGTACTCACCATCGGACTAACCACCTAATGAGGAAATTACCGGTTCCTGCCCCGGCTGACGCTGCTTCCGCTGCTCCCCCTCCCGCGCCCGCCGCGCACGCGCGCGCGCGGTGTGCCCGCCTCTCGCAGGTGCTCCAGCCGCCTCTCCAGCTGGAAGATCTGCTGCCGCGCCTCTCGCGCGCTCATGCGCGCGTGCGCGCGCGCGTGGCGGCGCCGCCGCGCGAGGCCGCGCCGCCGCTGGCCGGGCGCCGCGGCCCCAGGGCCATCAGTAATGGGCCCGGGACGAGAAACTGCGCCAGGGGGAGGCGTTGGAAGCTCTGGGGCTGCGCGGCGCGTCGCCGCGGGCCGCGACTCCGTGGACACGGGGGGCTCTTTCGCAAATGTCCCGCGCGAAACGCATCGATGCGACTGCGTGTCCGCGGGATTGCGCCCCGGAATCCAGACAGCGAGGGCGTGGGTATGGACATGCTCGATGCTCGTGGGGAGTGGTGCAATGCTGGACCGAGTCTGAGCTCGCCCTCGGAGGCGGGCGTCTTGACAGCAGCATCGCATCAGGACGGGCGTCCCTGCGCCACTCCCGGGCCCCCTCCTGGGGCTCTCACGCATCGGCCCGGCTCGGGAAGCGCGCCAGCATCGGGGGGACGAGGGCTCCAGCCGTGATCGTTTCGCGAGGTTGTGACTCCTCCACGGCGCCGGATCTCTGGGCGCACGTACCCTGGCCATCGCTCGGACGTCCATTCCCTGTGCTTTTTTCGGTTTCGTGCGTGTTTTTTCGCCAAATGATCCAGGATGCTCCTCGATGGTCCTCGCCGAAGGAAAAATGCACACGTCCGAGCGATGCCAAGTACCGAGAAGCTGCGCACACGGCTGGACTCACACGGGGAACGCGCGGCGCGCTGGACATACGCGCGGAGGGTCCGCGCCGCTGACAGAGGCGCGCGGCTGGGCCAGCCACGCCATGTGCATCCAGCCTCCTGGTGTGAAAGCCTGTGGCGTGGTAGTGCCTGTCGGGGATTTTTCGCTTAGCGTGTCGCGGTGGCGGTCTCGGCGACACGTTATGCCCTGCTAGCGGATAGCGAGTCGCTCCGCTCCGGGGCGGGAGGCTGGGAAAAACTCGGGACGTTGACGCTGGGGGACCAAGAAATGGATAGCGTGTCGAATAGCGTGTCGCGCCGAAGCGTGGTGGGCCAGAACCGGCGGAGCGACACGCCAAGCCAAAGTTCCTGACGGTATCTCGGGTCTCGCGGCTTGTGCCGCGCGAGCCTGCGGTCCGAAAGCTGTCGAAGCCGAGCGCCGCGGGGAAAAGCGCGGCGTAGGATCCGAAACGCGTGGCCAACTCTCGAAAACCTGGGTACTCCGGCGGTGACATGCTCCCCAGGGATCTTTTACTTCTGACGGCCTCTGCCGAGGGCAACCTCCTCACAAGGTTCGACATCCTTCGCAGAGGAGGAGGAGGAGGAGGGGGAGGAGGAGGAGGAGGAGGAGGAGGAGGAAGAGGAGGAGGCTGCCGCCGGCGCCACGTGGTCGACCCTCCTGCCAGCTCGAGGCCCCGGGAGGTGCAGGCAGACGGGCGGTGCGACGCGCGGGCGTGACGCCTCCGGCGGCCTCCGCCCCTCCGCCGGGAGCGGGGCGGCCAGCGCCTGACTCTCGGCTCCTCGAGGACGGGCCCCCCGCCCAGGAGCGCCCTGAACGTCACCGATTCCTCCTCCTCCTCCTCCTGCTCCTCCTGCTCCTCCTCCTCTTCCTCCTCCTCCTCCTCCTCCTTCTCCGTCTCCTCCTCCTCCTCCTCCTCCTCCTCCTCCTCCTCCTCCTCCTCCTCTCTCCTCCCTCCTCCTCGGTGTACAGTTGCCCTTTCCTCCTCCTCTTCCTCCCCCCCTCCCTCCGAAATGGCCCTAGGACCTCGCGCACGGGGGGGGGGTCGTGATCGAATGCGCGGCTGGGCGCACCTTGCTAATTGCAACTAACAAAATGCAACGTCCCTGCCCCGGTCCTAGTCCGCGCGAGGCCGATTTCGGAGGCGGAGCGGGAACTTGACAACAACACATCGGTCGCCTGCCTCTCGGGCTGTCCGCGGCTGCTGGGAGGAGGCGGCGCTCTCCGTCGGAGGCGGCCGAGGGATCGCGAAGGCCGACTCCTTGAGGCTGAGGGGGCCCAGCAGCACGCCAGCCGCCTGCATCTTTTGCTGTCAGCAGCAGAGGGTCCCTCAAGCTCGACCCGAAGGGCGCGCAGTTGCCAAGACCCCCTGCGGCTGCAGAGTAGACCACCTCCACTCCCACGCGGGCCATAACTCGGCTCACCGGCGGCCGTTCGGGACGATTCGGGCAACCCCGGAACGCCCTCGACGAGGCGCAGCTGATGGAAACCACCCCAGGCTTGGATCACGATCGCAAACTTGCGAAAACGTCCAACTCCCCCCTTGAGTCGATCCTCCCTGGGAACTTCGATACACGGAGCTGCCTGTAGTCAACACGTCGGCTGCCTGCATGATGCTGCCGCCCGCAACTCCCCTCCCGCTGGCGCGGGCGAGGAATCGGGGCCGAGGCAGGCGAGCGGGCGCGCCTTCTTGAGCTCCGCGTGGAGCGCCACGTTCTCGTCCTTGATACTCTGCGATATGAGGATCTTCTGCCTCGGGCGGAGGGGCTCTCCCCTCGGCAGAGGTCGTATGGCAGGCCTCGAGGTTATCGCGCGGGCGCCTCGTTCTGGCCCCACGACCTTTGGCAGCTCCTCTCGCTCAGCTCCTCTTCCTCCTCCTCCTCCTCCTCCTCCTCCTTTTCTCCTCCTCCTCGTGCTCTCCTCAGGCCGCGGGCAAACTGTCAGCCGCCGAGGCTGTGATGGCACGCGACGCGCCCGTGACCTCTTCCTCCTGCTCCCCTTTCTGCTGCTGCTGCTCATGCACGTGTTGCGTTCCCTGCCCTTCCTTGCTTGTGTCTCTCCTACTCCTCCACATTTCCCTTCACTCTCTCTCTCTCTCTCGATCTCGATCTCCCTCTCTCCCTCTCACAACTGCCCTCTCCTTCTTATCCTTCTCGTTGCTGTTCTTCTTCTTTCTCCTCATCCTCCTCATCCTCCTCCTCTTCCTCCTCCAATCTTGGAAGTTCGTCGGGTACGTCGCCAACCTGCCTGTCGATAGGTAACTGTCGCGTGTTCTTGAATGGCCGACTGCCAAGAACACGTCTCAAGGAAGACCACTTGAAGCTTGGAACACCACGTCGAATGCTTCTGGAATGAGCGTGTGATCGGCGACTGGAATAACCACAGACACATCTTCGGAATTGTATCATGGGATATGCTATGGATTGCTTGACTACTTGGTCACTTTCCCCCGCCCATCTCCAAGCGGCCGCCCCTTCGCGACCATACATGCTTGACCCTGCATTTGACCCTGATCTCCTAGGCCCTCCTCTTCCTCCTCGCTCTCCTCCTCCTCCTCCTCCACTCCTTCCCTCCCTCCCCCTTCCCCCGGGCCAAATCGATCAGTGAAGGTCCCGGCTCTGAAACTGTGCGACAATGTCTGGTGTGCGACAATATCGGGGGCCCAGATCTCGCGGTCTGGGTTCCGCCCTGTCCCAAGTCCTCCGGCAGAATGCACTTCTTTCGGCCGCGTCGCTGCTTCTTGGTCTCGGCTTCCGGCCCCTGGGGCCGTCAAGCGTGAATCCAGAACGAAAAACTGCCCCCAGGGAAGGGGCTGCGACCTCTGCGGCCCGCGGATGCCAAAACACACTCTTTGAGAATGCTTTTTCTCAAATGCTCGGTGCACTTCAATAGCGCTATCGCTTTGGCGGGCTCAAGCTGAAAACCGAAATAGTCTTCGGAACGCGAGACGGAGACCCTGGCGGGAAAACTTCCCATGACTCTGCAGCTGTATGAAGGCTGGCACATATACATACATCCATCCATCCGTCCGTCCGTTCATCCATACATACATACACACAAGTCGTCATGTCACACATCACGCACATGGGCAGAGGGAGACACAGGGGGAGGCACAGTGATAAGCCGACGGCGTCGCCAAGCTACCATGGTAGGCGTGGCGCTGCGTGGGGGAAGATGCCAACAGCGTCACCTGGCACTGCGGGACAACCGCACCAGGTAGCCCAATGCTACCACGCTGGGTCGACGCTATCCCCACACTGGTAACAGGCTGAGGCAGCCACCAGTGGCACAAGGGCACAGGCAATCAGAGCCACCATGGTGACGGAGCACTCCCAGCTCACCATGGTAACCGACAATGGCCCCCACCACACCGATGCCGAAGAAAACGTGTCGGTTCCACTCGCAGTCTTTTCCGCTCGCGCCCGTCGGCCCTACCACGAGGACAATTCCCCGCCGATGCAACTCAATCCTCGTCTTCAGCGCGCACCACCTGGAGGGCAGCAATGACGGAAATCTCGTCGGCCTGGCAATACCGGAGGAATGCAGATGACTTCCATTCGCCTGCTGCCAGGATGACGCCGATAGGCGAGCCGGCTGCCGCAA